AATATATGAAACACTGGAGTGTATTTTAAAGACACTGCCTAGAATATATGTTTGAAGTACATTTACAGAAGTATAGTATAGATATAGAAAGGGCACAACCTTCAGTGTACAGTTTGATGAATTCTCAAGCGAGTGCAGCCAATAACCAGCACCCAGATCAAGAAACAGGACATCCCAGCATCCCAGAAGCCTCTCTGTGCCTGTTCCATTAATTTTTTCCACAAAGGCAAACACTATCCTGGTTTCTAATAGGGTAGATTAGTTCTGCCTGTTTTTGAACTTGTTGTAAAAGGAAGTATATATTTTGTTTTCTGGAGCCTGGCTGCTTTCTCCCAATATTGTGTTTGTGAGAGTCGTCATGTTCATGCATGTTGCAGCTTACCATCCTCATCGCTGAATAGTCCATGATATGCACATATACCACAGTTTAATTTTCTGCTGCTGGTAGGCATTTGGGTGTGTTCCAGGTCAGGGCTATTGTGAATAGCGCTGCTGTAAACATGCTCACACTGTGCTTGTCATCTCCCTGTGAACATACAATCACACTTCTACTAAGTGGATACCAAGGGTGGAACTTGCTAGGTCATAAGATGTGCATGTAACTAACTTTAGAAGATTCTGCCAGTTTCAAAGTGTGTGTATGAAAGAGGGAAAGGCCAATTTTGTCTTTAAATGAGTACTCGGTTACCATGAGCATGAGAAGAGACATTGTTTCCTATTAATTTCAGAAGCAAATTTAACTAATAAAGAAGAGTTTCTATTTAAAATAACTTTTTAGAATGCTGTGTATTTTAATGATCTTTTTACTGTGTAATAAAGCTTACCTTTACTTTCAATATTTGATGAAAACTTAAAAACAAGGAGGCATAATGGGCAAGGGTGGGTGATATCTTTGGCTTCACTTCCAAGGATTTTGCAAACCAAAGAAGGTTACTCCTGACTCCTTTCCAGTTGTGTTCAAGTTGAGAAGTCCAATTTCTGGAATTCCTTTGGCCCTCCATGGAGCTGGGATGAGGACAGGTGGCCACCTGGAATGGGATGCAGACTGCCCACACTCTGCCACCTGTGCCCTCACCCTGTTAACTGTGGGTAAAACATCCCAAGGACTGAAGGAACAGAGCTGCTGTGATCACTCATCATTTTCATGTTTTAGGAAGATTTTTCCTTTCCATTTCCATTTTTCCAGTCATCTAATAACCAAGAAAAGCTTTTACCCCAAGTTCTCAAAAATGACAGCTATGTCTATCATTTTGAATTTCTGGCTATCACATTAAAAACAAAACCCCTCAAAACCCTGTATTCTATTTCTTTCGTGATTTCACATAGCTATAGAAAGTAATAAAACAGAAAACCTTTGTCTGGGACTCCTGGTATTTGTTTGTTTGTTTGTTTGTTTTAGTTTGGTTTTCAGAGAAAGGGTTTTACTTTGTCCCCTGGGCTGGAGTGCAGTGTCATGGATCACAGCTGACTACAACCTTGAACTCCTGAGTTCAAGTGATTCTACCACATCACGCTCCCTCCAAGTAGCTGGAAATACAGGCACACACCACCACAGCCAGCTAAGTTGTTGTTTTTTTTTTTTTGCAGTTTTTGGCAGGGGCCTGGTTTGAACCCACCACCTCCAGCATATGGGGCCGGCACCCTACTCCTTTGAGCCACAGGCGCCACCCAGTTTTTTGATTTTTTTTGTGGAGATGGAGTCTCACCATATTGCCCAGTCTGGTCTTGAATTCCTGGCCTCAAGCAATCCTCTCACTTTAGCCTTCCAAAGTGTAAGGATTACATGCATGAGCCACCACACCCAGCCTATCTGGGACTCTTTAATTATCCCTGACGTGATATCTTGCTTAAAACAGAATGGATAGAACAAAACCAAACCTTCATATTTTCCGGCATGCCAGTATTTGGATTCTTAGACTACCTTGACCAGAATATGGTAGTGTGAATAAAGGTGCTAAGAATAAATTTGTTTAGTAGTTTTACTAAAAACCAGGCCAGTTTTTAACTCAAGACCTAGATTTAGGCCTCAGCACTAAAGTTTTTTATCTGTGATATATGTCCTACCTTTTGAGCTGTGATTTTTTTAATCGGTAAAATGTGGTTTCAAATCACCGCCTTGCCTACCATGTATGGTTGTTGTGAGGATTGAATGCAGTGATTCATGTGAAATCATAAATTATAAAGGTATTAAGCCTAGCTGGGCTTAGCAGGCCCTGTATTTTAAGAAAGACAATTACTGTCTGTTTACCTGTGTGTGGTGGAAATTTGTTCTGTGCCTTGAGATCTTGTCACACACTGAGCCTGAACTTTTAACCTGGTGCCAGATGTGGCTGACGGGTTAAATTAGGAGTTACTTGTCCTGGTCCTACTGACCTCTTACTAAAGTTCTCACAGTTCCTCCACACCTCTTATTCCTACCTCCTGGGGAAGAAGGGAGACAAAAATTGTCTCCTTTGGTGGTAGCCCCAAACTCTGATGGGACAGATCATCTTTCACTTCTGGGGTATAGAGTTGTATCAAATAGGTAAGTTGCAGAATCACCACTGCTCACATCTCAAACTTATTTCTTACTTTTAAACTTTTCTTTTGCCCATTCACCTTTATTAGGTTAGAGACTATAAATATACTCACAAGCCACAAAAAGATCTACATAAAAATCTTAGTAATTCTTGCTGTAAAGGTAATAAATGAGTAAAATAGGGAATAAAATAGCTTCTTAGACCCTTCCTGGTTCATATTCTTTATTTATTCGCCTTTCTTTTAACAAAAAGGAGAAGGAAGCATCTATTTCGGCCCTTGGTGGTTGTTGACTTGAGTGGGTGGAGCTGGACTAGTGTGTTCCTCCTTCATTGGTCACCTCTTGAGAAATGACTTCCGAGATGGAACACTGCTACCAGTCAGAATAAGAAATTAGCTATATTCATCAAGATCTGAAGCCATTACATGAGTTGTGTTGATTTTTAATAAAAATGCACTCTTGGTGCTGAACTCTTTTGAAAATCAATTGTATAAAATACAGAATATGTTCTCAGAGCATGAAGTGGTGGTAATGGCATTGACCAGCTTCTAAAGCAGTGGTTTTCAACCTTCCTAATGCTGCGGCCCTTTAATATAGTTCCTATGGGTTGCGACTCACAGGTTAAAGCATCAAGTGTAATGAACTAAGTTGTTTCCCAGAGAATCAGGAGCTCAGAGTTGTAGATATGAAAGTCTATAGGTTCATAATCCTTTTTCCAAAATGAGATGGCTTCAGAATTCCGAGTCCCAATTCCCCTTGATCATGTGTAAAACACTGCCACAAGATCTGGGGGGCAGAACCTCCTAATCAAATATGTTATGTGAGATCTTGGTCAGAAAGAAGGAAGGGCACCACGTTCAGGAAGGACTGTCAGTTCACACTGCATCTCAGTTCAGGTTAGCATTACCAGCAAACAAGTTTAGGTCATATCTTATTTTGCTAACAAATGTGGTATGCAAAGCTTTTGATTTCAGAAGCTTTTGAATTTTGGAATTACACATAGGGATTATTGATCTGCATTATGTTGTGGTGTTAGCTGCTGGTGCTGTGTGCAAAGCAACTGAGTAGCAAGTTCTTGTGAGACAGTTGAGTTAGGAATATCAGATCTGGAGCCACACTGCTGGGGCTCAAGGCCCAGCCTTGCCTGGTGATTTGGGCTGAGCTACTAAACTTCCCAGGGTCTTGGCAGGGTGTGGTGGCTCATGCCTGTAATCCCAGCACTTGGGAAACGGAGGCTACTAGAAATATGCAGAGAAAACCTTCCTATCATTTTTAGGAAAGAAAGTGACAGTGAGCATCTGTTGAGTGTGCAAGTGGCCCTCTGGAGAGTGATGGGGGAGGTGCCTTGACGGCTTATAATTACAATTCTCCAGACTATAATTCCAGCCCAGTCTTTCCCAAGGTACTTTGCCCCCTACCCCTGCCACCTCCAGCAACCTACCCTTCTTCATCTGCACTTTGTATGGGTACACAGTGTTGGACTAACTTGGCCCTAGTCTTCCCATCACAACCATGCAGGTGTGTTAGGCCATCTGGGAAGCTGTCCCAGATGCTGACAAACCCTTGCAGAAGGGTAGAAAGGAAAAAGGAAATTTTGGCTGACATCTCCATGTCTGACTCCTAACTTATCTGAATAGTTCAGTGGTATCTTGAAAGCTTTAAAGATAAACGATGAGGCTGCTGCTTCTTTTGTGTGTCTCTGACAGATACGTAGCATGGATGCTCATTTTTTAGTTTGTGATATGTTAATCTCTTATGATTGCTTAGTAATGAAACCCTTTGGTGAAGTCATAAGTCTGCAGAGACATTTTAAATACAGGCAGTGTATGGAGGGGTGAGTGCAAACACGGCAGGAGACGGCAGAAGGATATGTGTACCTCATGCCGCCGTGTGGCCTGATGTCTTGGCACAGTTGTCATTTCTGGCATGTAAGAACTGGATCTTCTTTGAAGGACATAACATATTTGGCAAGCCCTGTTATGTCACGCCCCCAAGGGGGTGCTTGGGCGATGACAGTGACAGCCAATACCGGTAGGTACTGGCCAGACATGGATGGGAGAGAGTATGGCCAGAATCCTTTTTAAAGAGTTCTGTTGCATCAGATTTTAGTGTCTGTAAACAATTACAGCATTCAGGGAGTACAGGATTTAAATGAGAAACACAGCTTTGTCAGATTACACCAATTGGATAAAATGGCATGGGCTCCGGAAATCTATAATTAAATGTATTTTTGAAAATGAAAAATATAGCGTAACATCTGGTTTACTTCACTGCAGAAGAGCCTGCCTATTGCTTATATAAGCATGGTTTAGTTTGGCTGGTATTTGGGTTTCTTTCTGTAAGATGACTGCATTTTAATTAAATTTTTTCTCCTTGGTTCTATTTGTATTGTGAACAACAACTTATTCACACACACTTTCCCATAGAAAGTTATGCTCTCATGTAGGAAACATAACATCTGTTCATTTTCTTTTCGTTACAGCGGATTTTCAACTCCTTTGTTTACACTGAGAAAATCTCCAACGGGGAGAGCGAAGTGCAACAGGTAAGAGGCTGCTGAGTGCTCACCATCTGTCTGTGTCTAGCTGCTGGACATGGCTTCATGGCTTTTCCCAGGCTGTCTCCACACAAGGGTGTTTGTGTGTGATTTCATGTACATCTTACAAGTGGTGGGGATAGCCTCACACTTCACGTTCTTAGAAGCAATTGGAATGGTGGTTATGTGGATGGCTTTTTGCTATTCATGCTATGCATTAGAAATATCTAATTCCTTTTTGTTTTAAAAATTTCTGAACTACTATATTCTAAAAATACTGGAAATTATTTCATTTGATGTAGAAAATCAGTGCCCAGACTTTAGACTAAGGACAAACCCTATGCCAAATTCTGATTTTCTTTCTTATTCTGCAGTCTCATGAGCAATTTGGCATTTTTGAGCTGCAATTTCTCAACCTTAAATAAAGGGGAACATAATATCTGCTCTATGGGGTTGTGATAATTAAATGAAATGATGTCTGATTAACTGAGAATAAAATGAAATTGTCTATGTGGAAATTATCTGTGTTCTGGCATAGAAGCAGCTCATCAAATATTAGATTCTTTTGTTCTTCTTTTTCTTTCCTCATATTCTTTCTTTCCTTCTTTCCTTCTTTCCTCTCATCTTCTTTCAATGCTCTGTGGTATCATGAAGTTGTGAGGCCAGATTCTATTTACTTTATTTATAACTGGCTTCAAATGGACAGCCTCCAAATGAAGTGGTGCTGGTGAGCATGGCCATAAATAATTGATCTGTGCTTGAAAGGAAGGGTCAGGAAAGAGAGTCAGCTTTATTTTCAGCTAATCTACCAACTTCATTGTACTCTGTGACCATCAGCTAGTAATTTGAAGCTAGGTTTGAAACTTAAGTAAAAAGCAGAACTAAGGTGACAGCAGAGCTCAAGCAGAGAGCTTCCACAGAACCAACAGGCAGCCGTACTGACTTGCATAACAGCACTCTGAGATCTGCTTCGGTTCTTGGTATTGAGGGAGAGCAACTTGGCTCGATCTAAACTTCAAAAGTTTTATACAAGAAGAAAAGATTTGTTATAATGAAGTTATTTATAGAATAGTTATTAATTTATAATAAATTACTTGATTTAATCTTGAAACTCAGCATTTCCTATTTATAGACACTGGCATTTTTTTATTGGCTTCTGCAGGTTAAATTTCTGCAGATGTAAATAGATTATTGGTTTCTGCAGGATGTAAATAGTTACGTCTATATGCTTTTTCTTAGCTTTAGATATTTTTAAAAGCTAATGGCTCAAAATTGTAGTGAATATGATGGGGTTTGCTGTACCAAGTGTTCTCTTCATAATTCCTGTCTAATTTTTATTCCAGCAAGCTAGAAAGTCAAAATTATGAAATTTGAATGAGGTTTTATGGAAGAAGATTTCTAAACAAAGTGTGTTTAGGGAATCTCTTTGGGAGGCCAAAGGCTATTTGATAACATTTTAAAAAACGTGATCCAGAGATGTCAGTTTCACTGCTTTCCTTGAAGTAACACGTACAAGTTCTTGCTTTGGTTGTTTCCAAACGTGAAAGCTGTTTTCTTTTCTTGCACTGATGTCATTATTTTATTTATCTAACTATGAACAAGTCTGGAAGCCTTTAATAATAATTTGTTGACATCATAGCAGCTGAACGGCACTCACAGAATACTGGTGCTGGGCAGTTTCTGCACACACTGCCCTGGTCTTTGCTGAGGGAGGGGTGTCCTGGTATAGATGAGGGAGACTTGTTACCTGCAGTTTATGACTTGAGGCAGGAGGGCTAGTTTTTGAAATGTTTAATACAAAGTTACATAATCTGTCTTTTTATTTATTGTAAATTTATTTAAATTTATTTTAGAATTTTATTTACTTAATTTGAAAAATGCATGTATCCATCTGAAACATGAGTCTCTGTTGAACTCCACCGTCACCTGCACAGTTCAGGTGCAGTAGGATTACCACATAGTCTGCTCTGTGTCAAAAAGTTCATTCTTAAATTTAAACAGAATACTTTTAACTTCTCTCCCATCCATCCCTCTGTTTACCTGTGCAAGAACCCTGAACAAATAGGGTTTATGTCTCTTTTCCATCTAGTACATGGAGATGCTTGTGTCATTGCCATAATTATTCAGCCTAAATTTTAGTGTTCAGGTCCCAATTTCTTCTATGCCATTATTTCCAAATCTTTTCAGTACTCTGGTCACTAGAACAACAATACTAAAAGCAAATATTTACATATTTACTCCATATTTACTATTATTTCATCATCATGGTACCCATGTGTGTTGAACTGAATAATGGATTTCGCATTCTATAGTGAGCACCCAGAGATCCTTCATATTTCTCACTCTCTCATTTTTATTTTTTTTTTGAGACAGTCTCATTTTGTTGACCTCGTAGAGTGCTATGGCATCATAGCTCACAGCAACCTCAAACTCTTGGGCTCAAGCAGTTCCCTTGCCTCAGCCTCCCAAGTAGCTGGGATTACAAACATCTGCCACAACACCTGGCTGTTTTTAGAGACAGGCCTGGCTGTGTGGCTCAGGTTGGTCTCACACCTGTGAGCTCAGGCAATCCACCCTCCTCGGCCTCCCAGAGTGCTAGGATTACAGGTGTGAGCCACCATGCCTGGCCTGCCCTCATACTTTTCAACTTTAATAATTACTGCCCAGACACTCTGGACCCTGAGGTCGGTGGCAGTGTTATTACTGACAATATTCAGAAAGGCCAAGTATCCTAGCTAGTTTGCTGAATACCCCAGCTAGTAGTTGATTTAGTTATCCTCAAATTAATTTTTATTTCAGCTATTTTTGTTTTTTATGTAAATTTTAAGCATATGTTTACACTCACATGTCTTGCTAGTTTTATTCAGTATCATGTTGCTTAGAAGTGCCATGTGAATATCTGCATGTAGGGTTCATCTATTTTCAGTTATTATAGCTGATGTCTGGGGTGCTTCCAGTGTTTTGATTTTTGTTCGTGTCTCCACATACCCTATATTGTCAGATGGAATACTCTTTTTGATTGCAGGAACTTCATTGTCCCTGTGCCTTGTGTGTCTCCACACATATTTCCAAGTGTCCTAAGTGGTGGGGGGCATACCCTGTCTCCAGGCAAAAGTGCTGGGGTCAGAATGCCCCACAAGGCAGGGTGATGCCAGGAAGCTCCACAGTGGCCCCTCCCCACACAGTGTATGAGAAATATGCTGACCTCTCCTCAGTGCTCAGTTTACTAGATTTTAATCCTTTGCCAATTTGGGGGAACTGAAGTTGTATCTAATGAGTTCATTTGTTTTATTCTGATTACTAATGAGGTTGAAAGGCTTTGCATGTTCATACAAAAAAAAAGTTATTGTTCTATTAAATATCTGTAAATGTTCTTTGTTCCTTTCTTAAAAAGTTTAATTTAGAAGTTTTTGTTGTTGTTGTTGTTGTTTGTTCTTCTGTTTTTTGAGACAGAGTCTCACTTTGTCACCCTGGGTAAAGTGCCATGGAGTCATAGCTTACAGCAACCTAAACTCGTAGCTCAAGCGATCCTCTTGCCTCAGTTTTGATTTTTTTTTTTTCCATTTTCCAAAACTACCCAGGGACACTGTTTTCTCAGCACTTTAAGAATTAAGTCCGCACACACAAACACATTATATGAAGTTGAACCTGAATCAAGAAAAATAATTTTTTGAGCAAGTGCTTCAGAAAGTAGCAAAATATGGTCTGTAAAATACAATGTTTCTGTAGAGATGGGGTCTCACTCTTGCTCAGTCAGGCTAGTCTCAAATTCATGAGCTCAAGCAATCCACCCGTCGTGGCCTCCCAGAGTTCTGGGGTTACAGATGTGAGCCACTGCACCCAGCCTTAGTTCAGAAGTTTCAGAATGCTGTGTATGCACTACACCAGTGCTGTCCAGAGAACTTTGTGGGTGAAGATGTTCCATATCTGTGGTGCCTAAAAGATCAGCCATTACTCATGTGTGATACGAGGACCTGAAATGTGTCCAGAGCTACTGATAATTAAATTTTAAGTTTTATTTAGTTTTAATTAAATAACAACACATGGCTGGTAGTGCTGTATTAGACAGGCTGGTCTGTGCTTTGTGGATTTGTTCTCCTGGTTTTTGATTTGTCTTCTCATCTCTTCCTACCTTTTAAAGAATTTTTTAAATTTTAATTTTAATTAAGTCAGCTTTTAAAATCAATCTTTTCCTTCTTGATTTTTTTTCCCTAACGTTATAAAGGTTTCCTCCTGTGTTGTCTTCAGAAATTTTGCCTCTCTTAAGACTTTCATCCACCTGGAATTGATTTTTGCTGCTAGATGTGAAGGAGGTATCCAATTTCTTTCCCCCTGTACGTACTCCCAGTGTTTTATCGCTAGGTATTGAACAGTCTATCTGTTTGTCATTTGTTTTCAATCATTGATTGAATTTCCATGTATGTGTGAGTTTAATTTGGTCTCACTTGGCTCTTTAATCATTGCTATGCCAACACCATGTTATCTGAGTGGTGAGTCTCATAGCACGTTTGGGCATCTAGCGGGTAGCACTGCCCTTTCCATCTTAACTAAGCCCCAAGTTATTTCCAGTCCCTGGTGCTGTGTGCTGACATTCACATGGAACCCCCAGATCCTCAGATTCTGCCGATACTCAGGAGAGAGGAGGGCTGGCACAGGCTCCTTCCCAACCTCCTGCCTCACGTCATTGAAGAACTCCGTGCTCCTAACAGTGATTTTTATTTTTTTAACCCCTATTTATGCCATTAGCCTCTTACCAATTATAAGAACAATTATAACTGCTTATAGGATTTATTTGATAAGCCAGAAACAGGTTAGTTATTCACAGCAGATGATTGATCTTTGTGCTATTAACTTTAGCTCATAATCTTCAGGTGGAAGGGGCTATTTCTTTATGGTTGGGTTTTGCATGTTTGTGCTATCTGGAATTCTGACATAAGTTGTTTGTCATTTCTCCTCTGGATCAATGAAAATAAGACCCCATGGTGTCTCCCCTCCTCCCTCACTTGGAC